TCGCCGGGGAACGCGCGAGCTTCTGAAGGAGGCAGACCATCCGTTGAGGGCTCCGTTCAAATCTTTCCGCAGATCTTCCAAAAGAATGACGTCGACGGAGATGGGGATGAGTTGACGATGGAGGGTGTTTGTTGAGAAGGCGCGACTGTTGGCCGCCAATGGAAGGTCGCCGGAGACGAAACGTGACGACCGATGAAGACGCGGCGACGGCGGAGGAATCTGATGAGATTTTCATGTAATGTTCGGCAGCGGCTAAGACGCGGCGGAAGCGTGATGACAGAGGCGTGACGACGACTAAGGCGCGGAGGTTGTGCTGCGTGGGAGTCATTGCCGGCGGCCAGGGGCATAGCTAGGAAATTTTTTAACTAGGGGCTGTATATTATTGTAGTTATTATTGGAACTTTGTAAACATGGTCATGGGCCGACCCAGCCTGTCGGTTCAGCCCGAACTGACACAAACCGGCCCGTTGACCCTGGGTCTTGAACCGGCCCGTGATTTTGACCAGTTCGGTTCATGTAAAATACTTATAGTTTATACATTTTGAACATGCGGTTTCAGTTTTGAACTGGAACAGGAACCTGAGGTTCGACCTTTTTTAAAAAAAAATAATATTTTTTTTAATGAATCGGACGACCAATAACCGACAGTTCAATGAACCGACCGGTACATATGTTCGCGTCGGTTCAGGGTCCTCCAACTCTCGGCCCGGTCTCAACTGTTTCGACCTGTAACCGGTTTTTGGTTTTGATTTGAAACAAATTATATGTTAACATAATGAATTTGGAAAACTGAATCTCGAATCGCTTATATATTTAAACAAGTCAAACTCAAATAGCTAATCGAACTTATCGATCAAACAAATAGAGTCGAACATATTTGCAATCAACTCTGTACGAGTTTTTTCTTTGTCTAAGAAATGATGATGAATTAATTATTGAAGGCGAAATCAACAAATAAATAAATAAATAAGAAAATGAAAATGGATAACGGACTGTGGAATGAGAACCCAACTAAATAGCCCGTTGGAGAAGTTTGTGTCAAACCTAAACGGTTCATTTGATATTTATCAAGTCAACCAATTAAAAATTTAAAAGGCAATAGTGTGTTGGGCCACATTATAAACTCAACTGCTAAATTTAATAAGGTCACAATTATCATTTGACCATAAACGATTATCTTTTTCGCCACTACAATCATCATTTTTCCATCATTGTCGTTAGATAAAAAATTCTAACCTGAAAATATTCTTGAGGCATTCAGCCCAAAATTAATTGGGCTACATAAAAAAATTATATGGGACTAATGAGGCTATCTATAATTTTTTTTTTTAAAACTAAAATTATCAAAAATAAGATTAGCAACAAAATTA